TCCAGACTCCATTATCCAACCTGGCCAAACATGGGTGTCCCATCAACCCTTACACTCAAAAGGTTGCTAAGGAATTCATCTTTCCCCCAAACCTCCTCCTCCAACGTGCCCCACTTCAGTGAACAGCACCACCCATGTGAGCTAAAGCCAGTCCTGGTGAGTGGATCCCTCCTCTCCGCCCACCCTACCCCATACTCATGCGTCGGGATCCTGCCCACATCCTCCACTTAGACAAATCTGCAGCATCTCCCAACATATCCCCGCCTCCCTTGCTCATCATCCACTTGGTCACCAGAGCCAGGTTCCAAAACACAAATTCAATCACTAAAGTAAAACTGAAATACATAACTTAGTCACATAATTAGAAAAAAGGTGGTTTGGCCGGGCTCAGTGGCTCAAGCCTGTAATCCCAGCACTTTGGGAGGCCGAGGCGGATGGATCACAAGGTCGAGAGATTTAGACCATCCTGGTCAACATGGTGAAAGCCCATCTCTACTAAAAATACAAAAAATTAGCTGGGCATGGTGGCACGTGCCTGTAATCCCAGCTACTCAGGAGGCTGAGGCAGGAGAATTGCTTGAACCCAGGAGGTGGAGGTTGCGGTGAGCCGAGATCGCGCCATTGCACTCCAGCCTGGGTAACAAGAGCGAAACTCCATCTCAAAAAAAAAAAGAAAGAAAGAAAAAAGGTGGTTTAAGAAAGCAAATGTGGCCGGGCGCTGTGGCTCACCCTTATAATCCCAGCACTTTGAGAGGCCAAGGAGGGTGGATCACTTGAGGCCAGGAGTTCGAAACCAGCCTGACAACATGGTGAAACTCTGCCTCCACTAAAAATACAGAAAATTATCTGGGCGTGGTGGCAGGTGCCCGCAATTCCAGCTACTAGGGAGGCTGAGAAAGCAGAATTGCTTGAACCTGGGAGGCGGAGGTTGCAGTGAGCCCAGATTGCACCACTGCACTCCAGCCTGGGCAACAAAGTGAGACTCTGTCTTAAAAAAGAAAAATAGCCAGGCGCGGTGGCTCAAGCCTGTAATCCCAGCACTTTGGGAGGCTGAGGCGGGTGGATCACGAGGTCGAGAGATTGAGACCATCCTGGTCAACATGGTGAAACCCCGTCTCTACTAAAGATACAAAAAATTAGCTGGGCATGGTGGCACGTGCCTGTAATCCGAGCTACTCAGGAGGCTGAGGCAGGAGAATTGCCTGAGCCCAGGAGGCGGAGGTTGCGGTGAGCCGAGATCGCGCCATTGCACTCCAGCCTGGGTAACAAGAGCGAAACTCCGTCTCAAAAAAAAAAAAAAAAAAGAAAAAAAAAGAAAAATAGACCCGGCTGCGGTGGCTCAAGCCTGTAATCTCAGCACTTTGGGAGGCCGAGGCGGGTGGATCACGATGTCAAGAGATCGAGACCATCCTGGTCAACATAGTGAAACCCTGTCTCTACTAAAAATACAAAAAATTAGCTGGGCATGGTGGCATGTGCCTGTAATCCCAGCTACTCAGGAGGCTGAGGCAGGAGAATTGCCTGAACCCAGGAGGCGGAGGTTGCGGTGAGCCGAGATCGCGCCATTGCACTCCAGCCTGGGTAACAAGAGCGAAACTCTGTCTCAAAAAAAAAAAAAAAAAAAAAAAGAAAGAAAAATAGAAAGTAAATGCAAAAGCATTAGAAGAAAATAGGCAAGGCAGAGTCCCCAAACCCACATGCAGACTTTTTTTTTTTTTTTTTTTTTTGAGACAGAGTCTTTCTCTGTTGCCCAGGCTGGAGTACAGTGGTGTGATCTCCACTCACTGCAACCTCCACCTTCCAGGTTCAAACCATTCTCATGCCTTGGCCTCCTGAGTAGCTGAGATTGCAGGCACCTGCCGCCACACCTGGCTAATTTTTGTATTTTTAGTAGAAATGGTCTCAAACTCCTGACGTCAAGTGATCCACCTGCTTTGGCCTTCCAAAGTGCTGGGATTATAGGCATGAGCCACCACACCCGGCCATGCAGACTTTTTTGTTTCATCTTGAGAAACCAGTGTGCCTCTCTGTACAATAAAATTTTTGCTATGTATTTTCTGTTCATTTAGGACTTTCTCAAGAAAAGACTGGAACAGTAAAATATTTCCTTTCTCCCACTCAGAAAGCCCCTGCTGCTGGTTGCATCAGTAGCAAAAGCAGCCAGGAGGCTTGTTTCCCTTCTGGTTGTGCACTGCGGGGCTGCTTTGTGATCCAGATACCAAATCTGACTAAGCAAAAAAGTCACACAAGTCTACTTACTATCTTCAAGACAAAGGAAAAAACACAAAAAGGCAGTCAGCTACACACTTCTTTGCTAATTGCCAAGGGAAGGAGAGGCTGTCAGAATATAGCACTTTTCTTCCCATCTGGTCTTTAAAAAGCAGGAACTAGACGCTGGTTCACAGGCTAAAAAATATCACAGGATAAAATATCAGAATCATTGTGTCTAAAAGCCTGGCCCTCAGCACCACCTTCGTGATGACTCTTCAGCAAGGATCATTTAGCCCCTGCCTGCTTGATCAGCTTGTTTTCTCATCACCTTTGCTCCAGCAGTATCACACATCTCCAGGGTCCCCCAAGTGCACCATGCCTTTACTCACAATGTTCCCTCTTGCTGGAACGGCTGTTCCATTGTCCATCCAGCAAAAACTTACTCATTAAGACATCAAATATCCACTCCCTTTACGAAGCCTTTCCTGACTGTTTGATCCTCTTCTTTTTGCTCCTTTTTACTGCCCAGAAACACCTGTTAAAATATCTCGGGAGGCTGAGGCAGGAGAATCGCTTGAACCCAGGAGGCAGAGGTTGTAGTGAGCCAAGATCATCCCACTCCAGCCTGGGTGACAGGGTGAGACTCTATCTCAAAAAAAAAAAAAAAAAAAAAAAGCCACAACAATTCTTAACCTCACAAATCTGCCTCCCCCTATAGACTACAAGCCCAGGTTGTCACCTTCATCTTAATGTTCTCAGACCTGGTTCAGTGTCTGGTCCAAAGGAAGTCTTTAACAAATGTCTACTGAATGAATACATAAATATGTATTTACCCCCACTACACTGAGCTGTTGGCTTTTAAGTACACAGATGATCTTAGTCTTGGTGTCCTAGAATCCAGGTCCGGAGAAGCAGCAGCCCAGGAGTGCTAAAAGAGTGTGAAAAAAAAAACCATGGCTGGGCGCCGTGGCTCAGGCCTGTAATCCCAGCACTTTGGGAGGCTGAAGTCAGAAGTTCAACACCAGTCTAGCCAACATGGCAAAATCCCATCTCTACTAAAATTACAAAAAATTAGCCAGGTGTGGCGGCACACACCTGTAATCCCAGCTACTTGGGAGGCTGGAGCACAATGGCTTGAACCTAGGAGGCGGAGGTTGCTGTGAGCCAAGATCAAACCACTGCACTACAGCCTGGGTGACAGACGGAGACTCCATCTCAAAAAAAAAAAAAAGAAAATGAACAAAAGCCATCCGAGTCGAAGTGCATTCATTACTGCTTACACTGGTTCAGCTGCAGGGACTTAGGAGGGCAGGAAGACAGCAATGTTCTTACATAGAAAGACAACTTCAGGAAAGTAAATCCAGTTAACTTTCTCTCAATTACGCTGATGGAGGAAAATGATGGCAGCACAAAACATTCCAACCAATGGAGAATCCATAGAAAATATCATTAAGCCTTGAGACCTGTATTATTTCTTTGCAGCAAAATTGTCTTCCAGATTCTATCTGGCTCAAGCTATGTACACATAAAGGATGACAGGTATCTAATGTAGGGCTTTATGAAGCTCAGCTGTAATGCAGACACCTGGGCAGGCCATGAAGTTCCCCTTACCTGGCACAGTCCTGGGTACCTGCCTAGATGGCTCTTGCAGCTCCCCTTCCTGATGCTGGTGGAAAGCAGGGCTACAGAGAGGTCTCAACCCAAGGCTGCCTCCTCCAGGTCAGAATTGGATTAAGCACAAGTGGGTTTCCCATTTTCAGCCTTGCATCCACTGCCTGGAATGGCTATGCACAGCCACCTGCTCTGTGTACTCTCAGTTGGCAATTGCTGGCATTGACCTAGGGGCTACACTCCTACTACCTAGGATGGGCAAAATGTGGAAAAGGAAAAGCTTGACAAAGATGGGGGAGGCCCTGGAGAGAGAGGGCATTGGCAGCCTTGCCATATACCAGGACACTGGCTCCTATGAACTCCAATGCACCATGACAGGGGAAACCATGAGCAAAGGGAGCAGTATGCTCTGACCCTCGCTTAAGTAAATGAGGCTGGAGGGAGGGCTCAAAACTAGAAGAGGTGGTGGGCTCCGTGGCTCATGCCTATAAACCCAGCACTTTGGGAGGCCGAGGCAGGTGGATCACTTGAGATCAGGGGTTCGAGACCAGCCTGGCCAACATGGGGAAACCCTGTCTCTACTAAAAATAGAAAAATTAGCCAGGCCTGGTGGCGGGTGCCTGTAAGCCCAGCTACTCCAGAGTCTGAGGCAGAGAATTGCTTGAACCTGGGAGGTAGAGGCTGCAGTGAGTCGAGATCGCGCCTCTGCACTCCAGCTTGAGCCACGGAGCTAGTCTCTGTCTCAAACAAAACAAAACTAGAAGAGGAAAACAACTCTCGTTTGGGATGCCTTGGTCCCAAATTTCCTTCTTCCCCCTTCCCATTCAGCCATCTTCCTTCTCACCTCACCGTCTCTTCCTAACCCCATTGCACCTCCCCAGTCGGTGCATGGTCCTCAAGTCATTTCAACCTCTCCCACTCTCATGCCCTAATTTCTCCCACAACCAGATTACCCTTTTCTCTATCACCCTGCCTCAGTCTGGCCCCTAATTCCATTTTCCATTTTTCTTTTTCCATTCCACTAGTCTCCCCTCCCAGGGGGTACTTCCTGTCCTAAGCTCACCTTCAGGCACCTACTATGGGCCAGTCACTTAATACTGACCACTCCCCTCAAGCCCCCGGGACACATCCTCCGCCCCGCCTGAGCTGCAGGAGATCTTCCTATACCTTTAACTAACCTCCACGTGCGTGTTAACGGCGGTGACAGCATTTCCTTGTCTCTCTGCTCCCGCCCCCAAAGGCGCTGCCCATTGGCCGCTGGGTTCCTCTGTTCACGCTCTAATTGGCCTCGCTCCCCAAAAGCTCCAACCAATGACTTTTCCGTGCCTGTCTCCCTCCTCCGATCCTGGACTCCCATTGGCTCCGAGGACATAGGACCTGTTAGCTTGGTTGGGCGACTGGCAAATCCTTCCTTCCCGTGGGTAGACGTCTGCGGTGAGAAATTGGTTCCGAACTCAAAGGAACCCAGCGTGGGGCGACAGCTGGGTCACGTGGCCGGCGGTCCCTATGACGTGCTGGCTGCGGAGCGTCACTGCGACATTTGGGCGACCTGCCGAGTGGCCAGGCTACTTCCGTCACCTGTGTGGTCGCGGTGCTGCCATGGACCTGGGACCCATGCGCAAGAGTTACCGCGGGGACCGAGAGGTGCCGCCGCCAGGGCCAGGCCTCCCGCAGGGGCGGGGGAAGAAGGGTCCCCAGATTCATCTACAGCGGGGAGGGGAGTAGGAGGAAGCTCTCGGGGCTTCTGGGGCCAGCCAATGGGGCAAGGAGGTTTGGGGATCACCCCCGTGGGAGAAAGGGGCTTCAAAGACATCCGACCGAGGGAGCAGTTCCGGGGAAATGCGAATGAAGATGGGTTCAAAAGTTAGCCTTTCGTAAGGGATAAGAGCTCGAAATTTGGAGCCTACCTGGGTTGGAATTCTTCACCTCTGTGGGCCTCAGTTTCCTCATCTGGGAAGTGAGAGTACCTAGCTCATGGGGATGTTAAGGACTTAGATGTCTGTAAAGTGCTTAGAACCCTGCTACCCACCTGGTACAGGTAGCAAGATCAGATAACTTGCTCAGCCCCGCTGAGCTGGTAGTGATGGATTAATCAGGGTTTCATGTCATAGATGTCATGACAGGACCGGGCCTCCCTCAAGTGGTGGCGGAAGAGGGGTCTTCGGAGTCATCTACTGGGGGGAGGGGAGTAGGAGGAGCCAGCCCCTCAGGGCTCCTGGGGCCACCCCCTGGGGCAAGGAGGTTTGGGGGTCACCCAAGGTCATCTTTTGGGGGGTCACCCAAACTCCCCAAGGAGGGCATGGTTATGGGCCCCTCTTTGGGTGGATACAGTGATAAAGAGCTTACAAACTGTTTGAGAAAAAAATAAGTGAAATGTGGGGAAGGGGACTAGCTCAGGGAGGAGAAAGCTCTCGGCTTACTGCCGTTAGTACTTTTTGCTGACCACTGGGAAGTTCTTTTCCTTTTCCCTCCTCAGGATGGGAACCAAGAGAACCTTTATTAGTCGGGCATGTTGGAGCATGTCTGTAATCTTGGGAGGATGAGGTGGGAGAATCACATGAGCTTGGGAGGTTGAGGCCTCAGTGAACCAAGATCACACCACTGCACTCCAGCCTAGACTAAAGAGTGAGACCCTGCCTCAAAAAAAAAAAAAAAAAAAAAAAAAAAAAAAAAAAAAAGCAGTTTTTGATTAAATCTCAGCCTGCTGAATGAGAAATTACAGGGGTGGAGCCCAGAAAGTTTTTTTTAATGCTCCCCAGACAATTTTGACACCCATGACATAAAACCCTGATTTATCCATTGCTAGCTCTGGGGCAGCAAGTTGTCTGACCTTTTTATGCCTGTTTCCTCACCTATAAAATTGGGCACAGAATCTTCTTACTGCATACTATTTTTTATTTTAAGGTCATTGTCATAAGGACTAAATAAGTTGATATTTGAAAAGTGATTAGAACAGTGCCAGGTACATAGTAAGCGCTATATATGTTTATTAAATGAAATAAAACTCCCTTTCTAGGCATTTGAGGAGACTCATCTGACCTCCCTGGACCCAGTGAAACAGTTTGCTGCCTGGTTTGAGGATGCTGTTCAGTGTCCTGACATAGGGGAGGCCAACGCCATGTGTCTGGCTACCTGTACCAGGTGGGCATGGCCATGGGACCCTCTTTGGCTGGGTACATGTGAAGTAAGAGCTTATGAAGTTTTCAGCTCTAGATGCCAACTTTATGGTTCCAGCTCTGTTGTTAATGTACTGTGTGGCTTTAGGCAAGGTACTTGCCCTCTCTTGGCCTCTGTGTCCCTACCTATAAACCAGAGACCAGACCACAAAATTACATGTCAGTGATAAAAATGCAGTGCCTTCTGTTCATCTCTGCCCTTGATACATCCATACACAGTCCTTTGCCTCCCTCCTCTCTCCATTTACCCAAACCCTGTCTGCCGTTCAGGAGCTACTTCTGGTGAAGCTCTGTCCCTCTCTCGAAATCTAGTACAGTACCTGACTATATCATTCCTTTGACAATCATATGCCCTTTGAGACATAACTTGTATTATCGCCTGTTATTCAGGCTGTAATAGAACAATACTCCTTGCTAAACTGTAAGGCCTTGAAAGCAGTGCTCTTTTACTGTGCGAGTGGGTATCTCCCAGAGCTCTGAGCAGAGGAGCTGATCTAATAGCACCACCATGATCCCTAAGCATTGGATGATTGCATTATTGTTAGTCCCTGCCCTTAAGGTCTTATGAGTTTGCTAGGGCTGTCTTAACAAAATACTGTAGACTGGTAGCTTAAACAACAGAAATTTATTTTCTTATAGTTCCAGTAGCTAGAAGTCCAAGATCAAGGTGCCATCAGGGGTGGTTTCTGGTGAGGCCTCTGCTTGTGGTTTGCAGACAGCTGCTTTTCCCCATGTCCTCACACTGCCTTTCCTCTGTGTGTGTGTGTGTGTGTGTGTGTGTGTGTGTGTGTGTGTGTGTGTGTTGGGTGAGGGGGAGGGGTAGGAGAGGTGGTTCTGAAGTGTCTCTTCTCTTACAGTGACACCAGTCCTATTGGATTAGGGCCCCACCCTATGACCTTATTTAACCTTAGTTACCTCCATAAGGTCCCTATCTCCAAATATAGTCATATTGGGGTTTAAGTCTTTGACATAGGGGTTTTGGGTATCACAATTCAGGGCCATAACAGGGCCTCAGGCTGTAGTGTCATACCTCTAGGACAAATCCCCAGGAGCACATGGGAGGGTGCAGCCTGACAGCTCAATAAAGGGGGTGCAGCTGGAGGGGTTGTTTAGACATCTTTTGGGGAGAGGGACTGTAGCCAGAACATTGAAGCAGGCTCTGACCACAGTGCTCTGCTGTTTGCCCCTAGAGATGGAAAACCCTCTGCCCGCATGTTGCTATTGAAGGGCTTTGGCAAAGATGGCTTCCGTTTCTTCACCAACTTCGAGAGCCGAAAAGGAAAAGAGCTGGTCAGTGAAAAGAGCTGGTAATCTTTCCCAGGGCCTGCAGGGTCTGGCCCTTGCTTTCTGTTACCTTCTCATGCCACCTGCCCCTACCCCTGCCCATCTACTTGCTCTCTGTGTGCAAGTACCGTCCTGCCATGAGGCCTCGGCACTTGCTCTGCTCTTTGCCATAAATGGATGAATGAATGAATGCAAAGGTCCCTGCCTCACCCCCGTCAGCCTTCACCTGTTCCTTCAGATCTCAGCCAACACGTTACCTCCTCAGGAAGGCCTTCCTTGACTCTGACTCAGCTCCTCATGCTGTTTGCTGTCATTATAACTTGCAACTTTCCTTTTTGTTATTTTCTTCAGTTTGTAAGTGAGCATTTATTTAGGTGATTATGTAACAGATATTTGTCTCCTCTGCCAAACAGTAAGCTCTCTAGGAGTGGAGGCTGCTCTGTTTTATCTTTGCTGTACTCCCTGCATGTCTCCTGTTGTCAGACCCAGAGTGGGCACTTCGTGTGCATTCAATGAATGAATCCAAAATGAGTAAACCTCCCTCAGTCTATGCCAGTATTTCTCAAGACTTACAAATCTGTGGGTGAGAGAAGTGGCCCAGCCTCACTTTGGAGTCTAACTGGCTTAAATTTAGCTCCACCATTACTGAGGGAACTTGGGCATGTGACTTAGCCTGTCTCTGTATCTGTGACGATAGGCCCACCTTTGAGGGTTTAAATGACCTATTACAGTGGATGCATCTGCTGCAGGCCTGCACGCTACAGCTCTCCTGCCTTTCCCGTGCGTGCTGGAGGCCTCCTCTCCCTGTCCTGATGGCTGGTTGTGGATTCTCTTTTACTTCTAGGACTCGAATCCCTTTGCTTCCCTTGTCTTCTACTGGGAGCCACTTAACCGTCAGGTGAGTGAATTTTCCCAGGAGAGCCTGGAAAAATAGGCTGGGTTGGCAGGGCCTGAGTTTATGACTGAGTCTAGTGAAGGTCTCCAGACTGGGCAAACGTCCCACCTGGGTACTCTGCCTCCAAAGCAGCCCTCAGCTAGCTGGTCTAGTTGGAGCCAGGAGTGGTGGGGCAGTGGATAGAGAGAACAGAGAGGAACGGGGCCTGTGCTGGTAGGGACGGCAGGTGGCATTGAACGCCATTCACCCAGAGCCATCCCTGAGCAGGTGCGTGTGGAAGGCCCTGTGAAGAAGCTGTCCGAGGAGGAGGCTGAGTGCTACTTCCACTCCCGCCCCAAAAGCAGCCAGATTGGGGCTGTGGTCAGCCACCAGAGTTCTGTGATCCCTGATCGGGAGGTGAGTGGGGCTCTGCCATAGTCCTCCAGGTGCTGGAGGCTTTGGCTTATCCCTAGAAGCTGTCCCCAGAAGATGCCAGGTTCTTCTCTCTCTAGCCCAGTGAAAACAGTGAAAGGGACAATCTCCCTAGGGGAAGTGGGGGTGGGGAGAGGGGCAATAGGCCTCCTCTGTCCATCTGGCCCTCCAGTTGACTGTGTGCTCCTGGAGGACAGAGGCCAGTCTGCTCTGCTCGCGCATGTCCCCGGCACATATCCTCAGGAAGTCCTCCTTAATGAATCATTGACTGGGCCTGGCCCTTTTTCTAACTCCTTCCCCTGGACAGTATCTGAGAAAAAAAAATGAGGAACTGGAACAGCTCTACCAGGATCAAGAGGTACCCAAGCCAAAATCCTGGTGAGTGACATCTGGTAGTCATCTAGAAAGGGACACCACATGCCCTCACATTTACTTGAAGCCGCCTGCCTGGGGAATCACAGATCTCCTCCTCCCTGCCAACCCTTGTCAGATGCATCCCGGCAACTTCCTTCAAGAGGCCCTGGGATGAGGGGTGAGGGTAGGAGAGTGACCTGGCTAGAAAAACCCACAGAGCACTGAAACCTCTGCTTCTCCTTATAGGGGTGGCTATGTCCTGTACCCCCAGGTGATGGAGTTCTGGCAAGGTCAAACCAACCGCCTGCATGACCGGATAGTCTTTCGGCGGGGCCTACCCACAGGAGATTCCCCTTTGGGGCCCATGACCCACCGCGGGGAGGAAGACTGGCTCTATGAGAGACTTGCACCTTGACTCTGGCCCAGAGTGGAGCTAGGGCTAGGTGTCAAGAGAGGGTGTGGGATTGGGACCCAGGCCCTTCTTTCTAACCTCAGCCCATTTCCCTCCCAACCCCTTATATTCAGGACCCTTCAGAGCTCATCCTCCAAGTTCTCTGTACTCAATTGGTTCTCAGTTAGCTGGTCAAGCTGAGTGTAATGGTGGCGTAGAGAATCACAAATGGAAAATAATTCCATAATTATTTTTTTTTAGCATGCCTGTGATTGATTAGGATAGCTCCCTCTAGGGGTAGCAGCCAGTGTGACTCCCTTTCTGGTGACATCTTGTGAGTCATCCTGGCCAAAGCTTAGTCCCAGCATATGCACCTGAGCCAATCTGGCCAATCAGATTGTTTGGTCAATAATTTGAAATTTGAAATGGAGAGATCAGAACCCTGGGAGTCACTGAAGCCAAGTCATTCATGGCAGCCAGGAAACAAAGTAATCAACAGCCTCTGCCTGCTGTTGTTGCAATTCCCAGGATCTCTCCTTCCCTGAATACCTCCTTCCCAGGTCGGCTGTGCAGTTCCTCCCCCTGCCTTCAAACACCCCACTATCTCTGTAAATTTTCCCTCTCTCTCTCTCTCTCTCTCTCTCTTTTGGCCTATTCTAGCTAGAATCTATTTCCGTTGCTTACAACTTGACCTTTACCAATAGAATTTTTTTTTTTTTAGATGGAGTCTCGCTCTGTCACCCAGGCTGGAGTGCAGTGGCACAATCTCGGCTCGTTGCAACCTCTGCCTCCCAGGTTTAAGGGATCCCTCCTTAGTAGCTGGGATTACAGGTGCCCGCCAACACACCTGGCTAATTTCTGTATTTTTAGTAGAGACAGGGTTCATCATGTTGGCCAGGCTGGTCTCCAATTCCTGACCTGAAGTGATCCATCCACCTCAGCCTCCCAAAGTGCTGGGATTACAGACATGAGCCACTGTGTCCATTCAGGATAGTATGTGTGTGTGTGTATATATATATATATATACACACACACATATATATATATATATATATATATATATATATATATATTTTTTTTTTTTTTTTTTGGCTGGGGGGGTTTGGTTTTTGAGATGGAGTCTCACTCAGTCGCCCAATCTAGAGTGCAGTGGTATGATCTCAGCTCACTGCAGCCTCCACCTCCCGGGTTGAAGTGGTTCTCCTGCCTCAGCCTCCTAAGTAGCTGGGATTACAGGTGTGTGCCACCATGCCCAGCTGATTTTTGTATTATAAGTAGAGACAGGGTTTCACCCTGTTGGTTAGGCTGGTCTTGAACTCCTGACCTTGTGATCTGCCCACCTTGGCCTCCCATAGTGCCAGGATTACAGGCATGAGCCATCACGCCCAGCGCAGGATAGTATATTTTTATAGTACTTCCCCTACTGATTACTGCCTTCTCTGTGGCTCCAAGGGACCCACATAGTTACAGGAAAGCAGGTTTCATCTCAGTATTAGGAGAGATTTCAAGCAATCAGACCTGCCTAAGAAGGAGTGGGCTGTCACTAGGAATTTGTATTCCCGGTCAGTCAGGAATTTTGTAGAAGGGATTCATGTACTGGTACCAATAGGACAGGAACATTTTAATCAGCTTTACTTTCTATGTTTGTTTGTGGAAACGGTGTGTGTATGTGTACATACATTTTCCAAAAATGAAAATTAAATGATTATAGAGATTATGTTTTTCAGACCACCCACGTATCTGCTGTCCTTACTCCCCACTTCTGCTGATGATTCCTAGATCATTAGCTTTTCACTCACACTGGAATTATTTGGAAAGTTTTAAGAACCCTGATGGCTGGGTCCCACCCTCAGAGATGATTGAACCAGCCTGGCCAGCATGGCGAAACCCTGTCTCTACTATGATATGAGGGCAGCCTGGGCACTGGGAAATTTAAAAGCTCCCCAGAGAATTCTGTGCAGCCAAAGTTGAGGCCTCCTGGTCCACAGCTTTGCTATACACAGTGTGGTCCACAAGCCAAGAGCATCAGCATCACTTGGCAGCCTCTTAGAGATTCAGACCCCTGGCCCACTGAATCTGTCCCTGTATTTTCACTAGACCCCAGGTGACCAACTGCGCTGGACTCAACCTCTAAACCATGACCTCCCACCCTCACAATCTGTGATCCTTTCGTGACCCTCAGCTGAGTCTGTGCTGAACTGTGTTTGTTCTCTTTGAGCAAAGCCCACTAATCAGAGACAGCCTGGATGAGCAAGCAGCCTGCTGGCTATGGAGAGGAGCCAGGCTGGGTAAATGTTTGCTGTGACTAAGCCAGGATCAGAGAACTGACTGTTGCTTGCACTGGCTAGCATTGAGCTTGCCACTCTGTGAGCTGTGCTTCCTTCCCCTGCAGGGCCCTGTGCCTCAGTCCCTATTATCCACAGGCCTCCTCCAAGGGCAGCCCTTTCCTCGTTAATCCCCCTTAAGCCTGAATGCAGGAAGGCACATGAACCTTGCGGCCCCCTGCAGGCAGGAGGGTGTCCGGTGCCGTGAGCTACCTTGCCCTTTTTCTTGTACTGTAAGCAGTGTCGTTTCTGAGTTCGTGTACGTGTGTGTAGAAGCGCTGCACCCACCTTGTGTTATTGGGGGTTGTGTGTCCCCCCAGCTTTGAGCCTGTTCCTTTTCCGTTCTCTGTCCAGTTGTTACTGCCCGCAGTCTGTAATAAAAGCCTGTCAGCTGTGCATTTTATTGATGTTCAACCCGGTCTGGCCTCCCTCGACCCCCAAGGAGGGGACTTGAGGAAATTTACTAGACTTTTCTGCCCCCACTTCTCTGCATCAAGTAGACCTATGTCCAGCAGGGGGAGCCCGACGCACAGGGTCGGCCCCTTCTGGGCAGTGAAGGCCAGTTCTAGCCGGCCTCCCTTGCCTCCCCCTTCCTCTGCTTGGGCCGCGTCCCAGTGAAACTGTGGTCGATAACCCGTAGCCTCTCCCAGTTCCTCCTCTTTCCCTGTTCTCTTGAAAACTTCCAGCTGCCTCACTGCTTCCCTGGGCAGTCAGATCTCCCTTTGGCTTCTAGTATCTACCCCATATCCATCTGGCCCCCCAGCTTAGAAACACAGGTAGACTTTACCTAGAAGATGGAGCTGGGGTCGGCATGCAAGGGTCAGAGGGGCTGTGGACACTCTCACCCAGAGTGGTGACGGTGAGATTGGAGGAGGTGGCAGTACAGTGCCAGTATTATCTAGAACCTTAGGTTGGTGGCCCAGGGCCCAACCTTATTGCTCCCCACTCAGGGAAACCGAGAATGGGTAGATGTGGGAGATGCCTGGAGTCTGGGCTCTTAGGGGACACTCTGCTTCAAAGCTGGTTGGCTTTATCCCACTGCTTCCACAGTTTGTCCAGCCTCCTCAAATGATGCTCACCTCCCAGGATCCAAGACCCAGACGTTGCTCCCTCCCCTCCCTACTTCCCCTTCTGCAGAAGGTGTCTGTGCTTTTCTTTGTTCTGAGCTTCAGTTTCCTGTTCCCTCCGCAGGTAAGAATCAAGAGTGGAAGGGACTGTGTGGGACGGTGGTCACATGCACAAGCTGGCTCTGGCTTCAGTCCCAGCTCCACCACTGCCAGCGCCTGGCCCCCAGGGTGAGTGATCTCACCTCTAAGCCTCAGCCAACTTGTCTGAAAAATGGGGATAATGACTGCACCTGTCTCAGGTGGTGATAGGATTAAGTGAGCAACCTTAGGGAGGGCTTGTTCTAGGGCCGCCTGCCATAAGTACCCTATAAATGTTACCTATTAACATGGGGCAGGGCTGTGGTGTGGGGCAAGTCTGAGTTGCTCCGTGGAGGCCTCATGGATTGAGTAATTAGTGAGACCCTAGAAAGTTCTGTGTAGTGAGAAGGGGTAGAGGAAGAGGCCTTGGGAAAGGCAACACCCCGAGCCTGCCTTCCGTCCCTCCAGCTCCTGGTCTCCCTCCCCCATCACTTGAGGTCCCCCTGGCCTGTTAGGTGAGGTACCTAACAAAGGCTTCCTTGTATAGGTCTGTTTGTTTCAGTAATAAATTCCCCGAGCAACAGCTCCTGGGGTGGGGTGGCCAGCAGCCTGCCAGGAGCTGACCTGGAAGCTACAGGACCACATTGTTGAGTGGCCACCTTGGTCTCTCCCTGTGTTTCTACCAGGAGCCCCAGGGATTTGGCCAACTTTTTTTAGTTCCCGGCTCTTATGGCTTGATAAAGAGCTGGACCTAACATCGTAAGATAACATCTTTCTCCCCTTTCTTATTTATTAAAAAAAATTTTTTTTCTGGAGTTAAGGTCTAGTTCTGTCACCCAGGTTGTAGTGCAGTAGCACAATCATAGCTCACTGTAGTCTTGAACTCCTGGACTCAAGCAATCCTCCCACCTCAGCCTCCCAAGCAGATAGGACTACAGGCATATGCCACCACAGTCAGCTAATTTTTGTTTGTTGGGTTTTTTTAGAGATAGGAATCTCGCTATGTTACCTTGGCTGGTCTCAAACTCCTAGGCTCAAGCAATCCACCCATCTCAGCCTCCCAAAATGTGGGAATTACAGGCCTGAGCCACCATACCTGCCCTCTCCTTTTTCTTAAACCAAAGCTATGGGGTATGGTAGAGTTCTTTATAAAGCAAGGGGCAAGGAAGCCAGTATTAAACTGAGCACCTACTATGGGGCCTCTCATAGGCCACTTAATACTGGCTGCTTTTGATAAGATGGGTATTATTTCAGCCCCCTTTTACGGAAGAGGGAACTGAGGCTCAGAGGACAAGTAAACCCAGCTATTAAGGTCACCCAGCTACTAAGGGGGAGAGCCAAAGTTTGAATCTTCATCCCAAGCCAAACCACTGAAACTCTGGGGTCAGTCATCAAAGCTCTGTCCTGCTCTCTTGAGCATCTGATGGCCTCTCTGTTGACCAGAGAGAACTAACCACTGAGGTGTAACTACCTCCTTCTGCTCCCCTATCCCCACGCTAAGGCTGGTTTGATGGTAAAAATTAGTGACCCAGTTCCTACACTGTCACACCTGGGTACCCTTCCTGAAGCTTGAAAGGAACAGTTTGAGCACAAAGGTCCACTTTACTTACATGAAGGAAGATAAAGGCATGAAAAACAGTCATCTCAATAAGTGCAAGACGTGAGCATAAAAGAGATTCTCTGCTTTTCCAGCATTGTTATTACAAAGAGAGAAACCTAAAATTATTTTGTTAAACAAAATTTAAGACTCCAGGACCCATCTCTAGAGCTGATACGTGTTAAATACTATTACTGTAGGGGAGGGAGAGGAGAAAACTCCCCACCCACTCCCCCAGTTTGGCCAGTGTACCTTCCCTTTGAGGGTGTGTGACTTCACCTGCACAAGTCATGGCCAAAAGAGGAACCAGTAAGTCAAACTACCATCAATCTGGTCTTCTACAGCACCCCCCACAGAGTGCCAGTGTCCTCTGCCCCCTCCACACCTGAGGACAAAGTTCCAGGAAGTTTACTGCCTATGTTAGGAGGTGAGCTCAAGTTCAGCGTCTCCGCCTCTGGCTCCACAGAAACCAGAGCCCATCACGTGGCTTCTGGAAAATATGACCTCCTCAGGATTGGTCCAGGGAACAGTCACGGGTAGAGAAAGTAAAGCAAGCAGCAATTCAAACTCGCCTTTGACCCTGTGTCCAGTAAGGAGGTGAAGTCTGTCTGGCTCGCTCTCTCCATTCCCTACTATGCCCACCTCCCTGCCCGCCCTGCCGTTGCTTCAAGGAGGGCTGTCCATCCTGGGTGAGAGTTTTCACCCAGGATGAACTAGAGTGCCTTTTTATGTGGTCAGGGTGAGGGTGGGAGGACCCTGGGATCTCCCAGGCCTTATAAAAGTGGAGGCACATAAATACAAATCTAAAAACCAGCCATTTCCTGCCAGCAGACATCAAATGCCACCATGGCTTCAGCTATGGCCAAAGAGGACAGCGTGGCAAGCTCCTGTCTCAGATCCGGCTGGTGACAGGGAACCAGGAGGTGCTAGCACCCTCCTCAGTCCTTCACTTCGATGACCGCCCTTCCTCGCAGTCATCAAAGAGGCCAGGGTTCTCCGCCAGCGTGGCTCTCACTTTCTTCTTCTCCTTGAAGCGGCCTGAGTTGGAGACCTTGACGTGCTTGCCCTTGGTGCTCTTGTCTACAATCTTCTCCAGGCGGGTGTTAAAGTCGCTGTTGGGGCCTCCAGCATCGGGCCTCGGGGGTTCTGTGCCTCCCTCTGTTTGGGCATAGGTGTCAGGGATCTCATACAGCACCTTGGGAGTGGATTTCTTTTTCCGGAGGAAAGTCAGCTTCCACCAACCAATTTCAGTTGTCATGGTGCTCCCTAAGCCGTGGGTGGGGCTTTCTGCTGGAGCAGGGTGGGGGAGAAAAAGGGGTCAATGGGAAAAGGGGGTGGGTGCCTTTGGACCAGCTTGCTGTATACAACTCCTAATCATGGGCTGCTTTAAGAATTAAAGAAAGGGCCCAGGCTTGGTGGCGAACACCTATAATCCCAGCTACTCAGGAGGTTGAGGCAGGAGTATCGCTTGAACCCGGGAGGCAGAGATTGCAGTGAGCTGAGATCGTACCACTGCACTCCAGCCTGGGCAACAGAGCGAGACTCTGTCTCAAAAAAAAGAAAGAAAGAAAGAATTAAAGAATTGAAGGTAGGGCTGAATAAACCCAAGATTCAGGTCAGTGGAGTGGCATATGCTTTTGGAGAGTGAGAGACAAGAGAAGGGTCAAAGTCAAGGTCAAGACAGGGAAGCCACCCACGCCAGGCAGAGGGGCGGTGGGACAGGCACACACCATTGCCCTACAGGGTTGTCTGGAGCTTTGAGATCATTCCTGCCAGGCCCTTCAGGGCGGTAGGCAGGTGGACAGCTTGCCCAAGTCAGGCGGCATCCAGGCTTTTGACGCTCTTCCCAAACTTCCCACTATACCACCAGACCCTGCTGCCAGGTGTGGGCAGACCATTGACTGGTAGTATAGGGAGAGAAAGACCCTGTGCATTTTGCTTGGAATTCATTACAAAATTAAATATAATTAGTGACCTTCTGAGCAATTTGAACTTCCCAGCAGTGACCTGCAAGGCTAAAGTAGCTGCTGGGCTGTTCCTAAGGCAGGAGCCAGAGCCTCAGGCTAGTAGTGGGAAATCCTGGGGAATTTCCTCACCTATCCCATCCAGCCATAGCATTTAGCTCTACTATTAATCCCTGCCCACAGAGGTAACCATGCATTGCAAAGTAAAACCTATGATAATGGCAGTAATTACCAAGGGATGGTTCCCTTTCCCACCAAGCTTTCATAAGAAAGGGGAGCTAAAAAGGCAGAAAGCAGTTAGAAGGATCCCAGAAATACAGGGAAGACGCGATCATCACAGGTTGGGTGGGGCTTGGGTCTGAAATCCAGGCTTCTCTACTCACAGGCCATGTACCCTGCCATGGAGCTGCCTTCCCCTGGGGCATCCCCTTTGACTAATTTCCACAAAGGTATTGTCTGAGCTAGCGGAAGTTCTGGGAGAGGAGGTTGCCTGGACATCATCGATAGATGAGGTATGTAAGATAGAAGCAGACGACAGTCTGCTAAATGAAGGAATCGTCTGCTAAATGAAGGAAGATCAATGACAGAACAGACAGAGGAACGGTGATGACTGGCGAGGTCGGTGGTCTAGTTCTCAGGATGCCTAGGTGCCAGCTGTGAAAGCTCCAGGGGAGGAAGGCGCAGCCAGTGTGCACCAGAAAGCTAGAAGGCATTGCTCTTGTCACCCCTCTGGAGTGCAATGCTGTGATCTTGGCTCATTGCAACCTCCGCCTCCCAGGTTCAAGTGATTTTCCTGCCTCAGCCGCCCAAGTAGCTGGGATCACAGGCATGTGCCACCAAACTCACCTAATTTTGTAATTTTAGTAAAGATGGGGATTACTCCATGTTGGTCAGGCTGGTCTCGAACTCCCGACCTCAGGTGATCTGCCCAACTCGGCCTCCCAAAGTGCTGGGATTACAGGCATGAGCCACCACGCCTGGTGTTCACCTCCTTTTAAAAACTGGAGATACTCACTGCATTTTTTTTTTTTTTTTTTTTTTTTGAGACGGAGTTTCGCTCTTGTTACCCAGGCTGGAGTGCAATGGCGCGATCTCGGCTCACCACAACCTCTGCCTCCTGGGTTCAGGCAATTCTTCTGCCTCAGCCTCCCAAGTAGCTAGGACTACAGGCACTCACCACCGTGCCCAGCTAATTTTTGTATTTTTTTTTAGTAGAGACGGGGTTTCACCTTGTTGACCAGGATGGTCTCGATCTCTTGATCTCATGATCCACCCGCCTCAGCCTCCCAAAGTGCTGGGATTATAGGCGTGAGCCACCGCACCGGCCTTGCATTTTTTTTAAAAGACTAGAAAGACATACTCCAAATGATTAATAGTGCCTTTCTTTATGTAGGAGTAGAGGGTGCTTTTTCTACTTAGTTTTCTGATTTCCAGAATTTCCATAATAAGGATAGATTATTTTAGAAGTTCGGGAGCATATCAAATTCAGGAAAGAGGAGAGCATAATGCGGGCCTAGGCTTACGATGAGCTGAAGGCCTGCATCCATGCTCCTCACTGCTCTGGTCTCCTGCCCCTCCATGTCCCCACCCCCACCCCCTAGAGCACACAGCTGGTGGATTCCTTTCCACCTCTCTGTCTGGGAAGCAGCTGCCACATTGCCAGTTCTGTCCCTTTAGCTGGGGTCAAGTAGCAAGAGAAGCTGAGGGGAGATCTTGTGCAGCTCCTGCTCAGAAAGCGAAGGGGCAGTGAGAGGGACTCGATAAATACTTCCAGGGAACCCTGGAGAGGTGAGCACACCTAGGGACAGCCTGAGAGGTTTGCTTTGGCAGCTTGCCCCACCTGGGCTTAGCACAGCCTTGCACAGAACTTAGTGTTCCAGAATGGGTTTCTGGAAGGAGGTGTGGGGAGAGCAGAGAAGGAGGAACAGGGTACTTGCTTGGTCTGTGGGTACCCCAGTCACTGCCTTGTCTGGAACGAGGCCCACAGCCCCACCACTACTCATCTGGAGCAAGGAACTTGGAGAATGGAAGAACAGAAGATCCAGCTCCTGAGACTCATAACCACCAGATTTTCTAGCTCCAGCGAGAAAGAAGCTTCTGCCTGTGCCTGTTAAAATTCACCTGTTTTAACAGGCATTTCAAGTTGACAAACTTGAGGCTTAACTCCCCTTGGCATAAAGGGAGCCACAGATCACGAGGAACTTATCAGAAAATGTAGAGACAGGAACAGCCCTTGTGCCCTTCCCAGGGGCCTCCACCAAGGCATCGGGTCTGGTGCCCTTGTGTCCTTGCCTTGTACTCTGGTCTCTCTAGAATGTTCTTTGCCAGAGGCCAGGTGCAGTGGCTCAAGACTATAATCCCAGCACTTTGGGAGGCTGAGGCAGGAGAATTGCTTCAGGCCCAGAGTTCAAGACTAGCCTGGCCAACATGGAGAAACTCTGTCACCACTAAAAATACAGAAATACACAGAGCGCAATGGCTCACGCCTGTCATCCCAACACTTTGAGAGGTCTAGATGGGTAGATCACCTGAGGTTGGGAGTTCCAGACCAGCCTGACCAACATGGAGAAACACTATCTCTACTAAAAATACAAAGTTAGCTGGGTGCGGTGGCATATGCCTGTAATCCCAGCTACTCCAGAGGCTGAGGCAGAAGAATTGCTTGAACCCAGGAAACAGAGGTTGCAGTGAGCCAAGATCACGCCATTGCACTCTAGTCTGGGCCACAAGAGCTAAACTCCGTCTCAAAAAATAACCCACAAAAAAAATTAGGCAGGTATGGTGTCATGTGCCTGTAGTCCCAGCTACTAGGGAAGCTGAAGCACAAAAATCCCTTGAACCCAGGAGGCAGAAGTTGCAGTGAGCCGAGATTGTGCCACTGCACTCCAGCCTAGGTGACAGAGTGAGATTCTGTCTCAAAAAAAAGAATGCTTTTGCCAGGCCTTCTTGTCTCTTCTGCCCAGGAGGACATGTAGGCACCAGTAAGCAGGTGTTTGCCCTTTAGGTAAGCCTGACTTATGGAAATCTGAATTTGCAAAACAGAAAAATTAGCGGAATGTTCTTTGTTTTACAAAATAACCCAGATGTAGGGTTCTGTAAACAGCAATCATAAAAGATAGTGTAAAGTCTGATTTGCTTTAAAAACAAGCAAACAAAAAAAGGTGATGTGATGTCCAAACTTCCCAGATTCTCAAAATTGCAAAGAACAAGATATCTACAACCTTGTGCCCCTGCATAATCACAGAGGGCTGAAGGGGGTTGGGGGGGGGCAGGTGCTCCGGACTTCAAACTGACCCAGCATTTGGTGACACATGGTGGGCCCAGCAGTTCGTTCATGCAGGTTCCTGAGCTGGCCGAGCTAAGGGCTGGGCCCTTGCCCTGGGGCCGTGCAATCCAAGGATGATAGAAATCAGCCCCTGAGGATGCCAGCTTCACCTCTGCTGTTTGCACAGTTTTGGGGCCATGAAGGGTCTCATGGGACAGCCTGCCACCTGGTCTTTGGTGACCAGCACTATGGCATGCACACAGGTGTCCCGGGACAGGCCCCTCCATCCCAGCTGGGTTCTGTGAGCTGCTCCAAAGGGCTTTGCCCAGACGGAGCCAAGCCCCTTCTGAGCTGGGACAAGTTAACCATTGACTGGGGCAGAGGTGGAGGGGCAGAGGGGCAGGTAGGGGAAGCAAGTCAGCTAATGTGTTGTTGGACAAAACCCAGAACTCCCTCCACCATCCCTCTCCAGGGCTCCTAATGGTGCTTGTCCATGCTGAATGAGACTGGGGTACCCTGGATAAAAATGGGGAGATGTTCCTACCAGACAGCTGGAAAAATGCTCCAGGCTCGGAGTCAGAGGGGTGGGCTCCCGTTCAGCAAGAGTTAACAGAAAACTACTCAGCAGGAGCTCTGTTGGAGGCCTGGACTGACTCCAAGAGGCCAGTGCGATGAGTCCTGAGTGGAGTCCAGGTTAGAGGCCTGGGTTCTTCTTTCCCAGAAGAACTGGCAGAACTGGGTGCCCTGACTGGGGTCTGTGCCTTGGTTTCCCCACCCACCGGCCCTCTGCCTGTACCTGTAATCCCGACTGCTCCAGGCTGGAGGTGACACCTTTCCTAGAGAAGCAGTTGAGTGTAGGAGCTGCCTGGGAGGGTGAGACTCAGGCAGGAAGGGGTGCCTCCGGGGTGCTGTACCAGGCAAGGCTCGGCCAGGAGAGGTGGGTAGGAGCAGCTGCACATCAGGTGCAAGAGAAACAGGTGCAAGAGCTAGTACCTGCTCCGCTGCAGCTCCTGGAGTCACGGTGAACCTGAAACCCAGCCCCTCCCAGCTAAGTAAACAGAAGCAGAGGCCGGCTCAGGCTAATGAATATTCATCATGCCGGAAATCCAATCCCAGCACCCATGCATCCACCCAGAAGCTGGGGACCTCCGGGGACTGCCACGCTGGAGGAGGGAATCCCAAGGGAGATCTGGAGTAGCAGAGCACAGCAGGCTGTCTCTCAGTTTCCCCACTGTTGGGTGTCTGGTTGCACTTCCCAGTTGTAGCCAAGGCCACTCTACTCATTTCATCTTCCAAGGAAAGAAACTCAGATCCCTCTCCAGCATGGACCACCACCTGGATGTTGCCCAGGGCACAACCGGGAAAGGGTTAAGGGCTGCTGCTTCCATTGGCAGCCTGGGTAGGACGGGGTGCACCCCAGCTTCCTTTGAACTCCCTGAGTCGAAACCAGTCCCTGGTTAAACTGGTTGGCAGACCGGTTCCCAGGCTGTCACTCCCCTGCCTGAAGCCTCAAAGTGGGGACTGGGTTGGGGGCTGTGGCTTCCTCCTGACCCAAAGAGCCCCTCCTTAAAATCTCCCTAGGGAGAAAAAAAGGTGTACCAGCCTCTCCTCAAGTCAGGCTCTCCAGACCCACCACAACCTCAAACATCGTCATCCCTCTCCCCCTTTGCTTGGAGATGGGCTTCAAGGCCCTTGAGATCATATGCAGAATTCCATGTTTGTGGGCAGGGGCATTGATTTTTCTGCATAGATTATACTCGTATCAGACTCTCAAAGAGACTTGTGACAGTCTCTCCACTAGCAAAGTACCACTGGCTTCAACTCCTCCCAGCAGTCAATCGAAAGGGCCTTCCTGGGTATTATAAAGTTGGTAAAACCTGGAGCAAGTTCTCAAGGAAAGGAGAGATGGGCCCCTAGTGAGGCTAGAAGAGAAGGAAAGGCAAGAAGGCAGGGGATGGGCACATGGTTGGGGACAGGGGCAGAGTGTGTACGTACAGGGTCGATCATCCTCACTGATCTGCAGCCACACTCCCCCTGTAAACCCATCGGCGAAGCCTGTGTGTAGCCCTCAGCCAGGGCCGCTCTTGCAGATGGCTCTGTGCCTGGGGAGCGTTGCTTTGCAGCCACCCAGGGGTGGCCTCTCCTGTTTGCACTTGCATTCTCTCTCCCCTTGGATGGGCATCGCTGGAGAGCAGAAAACATCTGCTGCATACTCAATGTCTCTGCCACTCCTGGGCCCAGTGCTGCCCAGCTCAGGTGCCCAATCCACATACCAGCTACCTTCCTTCATGGACTGGGGGTGTGCGTGTCAGGCACAGAGTGAGGCATGAGGTAGAGAAAGGCATAAAATCCCCCCTTTCCCTGGCTCTCCCTCTAAGTTAAATTTGAAATCCCAGCTCACTAACTCTTAAGAGTTGTCCTCCATCTCCAATCCTGCTTCTAACCACTTCCAGCTTCTGATGGCCCTTTGGGTTTGTATTCTCCTCCATCTGAAATAGCCCCTCTTCCCTTAAAATGTTCTTGGGAGCCGGGCACGGTGGCTCAAGCCTGTAATCCCAGCACTTTGGGAGGCCGAGGCGGGTGGATCACGAGGTTAAAAGATCGAGACCATCCTGGTCAACATAGTGAAACCCCGTCTCTACTAAAAATACAAAAAAATTAGCTGGGCATGGTGGCGTGTGCCTGTAATCCCAGCTACTCAGGAGGCTGAGGCAGGAGAATTGCCTGAGCCCAGGAGGCGGAGGTTGCGGTGAGCCGAGATCGCACCATTGCACTCCAGCCTGGGTAACAAGAGTGAAACTCCGACTCAAAAAAAAAAAAAAAAAAAAAAATGTCCTTGGGAGGACCGTCCTCCAAAGGCTCCCCACAGCCCATAGCAGAACCCACTTGGCCTGGCTCTCCTAGGATGGGGCCTCTGCAGCCTCCTATCACCCCCACCCCCCTATGCCAACAGTCCCTGAACAGTAGATGCTTCTCTGCCTGCCTTGGTAGGCACAAGGTTGCCTTAGAACGGTGAGATTAGAAGTGCTGGCTGTATTCTTGGGTAGCAATGTCCTCCCCATCACCTGTGTGACCCAAAACAAACTCCTATTCAGCCCTCAAAACCTGAATTAATGATTACACCCTCCATCCTACCAGAAGTTTTCTTGTTTTCCTTTCTGTGTTCCCATAGAACCTGCTCATATACTTCTATTTAACATGATATGTATACCATGATTGATTTCCACTTACGAACTTTCAGCTCTTTGAGTCCAGAATTACGTATCACTGATACAGGCCTGACATATAGTAGGTACTTATGCAAGCCTGAAAATACAAATGAGAAGCACAAACATTGTTTTTACCCAAATAAACTGTTAATGTAGCCAATGGCTTTGTCCCAGTCTCCCTGTGGCAAGAAAACCCATTTATTTGCCTTCTTGGTTTCAGCTACAGCTGACTTGCTGTCATGCTATCATCTCCCTGGGGGTTGATTCGAATTGAAGGATATTATTTTGGAAGGTCCTCTGCCTCTAGTGCAAAGTACACACAGCTGTCTCAGAAAGGTGCCACAGCTTCCTAGATCTGTCACTTTCTATGAAAGCCTGGTCTACTCAGAGAGTGGATATGTGGTTCAGAAGACAAAAACTCCTTCCAGCTCAGGTGTTGGGAAGAGACCAGAAGGCTGGTGAGATGGGCTTTGGTCTGGGGGACAGTAACCCCAGAGTCAGGTCCCCATTTCCCATCTATGGAGGAAAGGGCTTGCTCATTCCCCGTGCCTCAGAGATCCCAGCCTCTCTGATGTCTGACCCAGGGGAGCATATTCCTGTTCTCTTGGCCCCACATTGCAGAAGGAGCCCCCATAAGTGCCATGGCAGGCCCACTTGTGGCTCCCCCTTCCCAAGCGCCACCAGGACCAGGTGCAGGTGTGAGGCTCTAGCACATTACCCAGAGAGGGGTCCGCCTGGGAAGTCAGGCCCAACCCCTGGCCTTCAGGGTATTTATTTCTGGGAGGAGCAGGGTTAGGAGGAGAGTTTGAGATAAGGCTGTGAGCTATGACTATCACTCTTCACATACAGGCCACTTTATTGCTTTATAAACATTGTTACCTTTGGCCAGCAAGGTGGCTCGGTCTATAATCCCAGTATTTTGGGAAGCTGAGGGTGGAAGGGCAGATCACCTGAGGTCGGGAGTTCCAGACCAACCAGACCCCATCTCTACTAAAATACAAAACTAGCTGGGCATGGTGGCTCCTGCCGGTAATCCCAGTTACTCTGGAGGCTGAGGCAGGAGAATCGCTTGAACCCAGGAGGTGGAGGTTGCAGTGAGCTGAGATGGCACCATTGCATTCCAGCGTGGGCAACAAGAGCAACACAGCATCTCAAAAAAAATTTTTTTTAAATCTCAGCTTGGGCCAGGCGTGGTGTCTCACGCCCGTAATCCTAGCACTTTGGGAGGCCGAGGCGGGCGGATCACAAGATCAGCAGTTCAAGCCCAGCTTGGCCAACATGGTGAAACCCCGTCTCTAAAAAAATAAAATAAAATACAAAATAAATAAATAAATAATTTTTAAAAATTCAGCTTTAAGCACACCTTCCTAAAGCTAGCTTTAAGTGTAACATGCCATACACAAACACGCAGTAGGCACGTTTTCAAAACTGTGTTCTTGTTGAGTGAAGAAAGTTAAATTCACCTAAAGGAGCCCCAAGGACCTTGGTGCCCTTTTGGGGTGTACAGCTATGAGGCCCCATTGAATTACAGATCCAGTCGGCCTGGCACATCCATCCTACTGACCTCTGGCCAGCAAGTAGATCTAGGCTTCAGGGATATTTCTTCCCCAAAACAGGGAGAAGAGAGGTTCTGCCATTCTTCTCAACACTCCCCTTTCTCTGGAAGAACAGGAGATCAGAGATCCTGGGGGTGTCGAGGTGACAAGCAAGGCAAAACCAAAGATCAGTCTCTGGTGGGCTACACCAGGTGCAGTGGGGAGTGGGGGCAGGCAGAAGCTGTATTCTGATCTGAGGTTCTGAGGTAGGTGGTGGGGCTGCCATTGGAGGGGGCTTTCTCCTTGTTTTCATGCGAGGCATCCCATTCAAGGAGATCTCAGCAGGGAGTGGGGGGTATGAGCAGCCAATATTAGGGGGATGTGTTCCAGGCACTCTTCCAAATGTTCCATAGGTGTGAACTCTTGGTCCCCCATGGCCACCCCCAGGTGGATTCTTTAACCAGTACACCCATGTATGTCCCCTCAGCAATTTTCCTGTTGCTTTTTTGCATTCATTTCCTGTGGCTGCCATGAGTTACCGCGAGCTCCATGGCTTGAAACAACAGAAATTGATTCTTCTGACCTATCCAGTAAGTCAGAAGTCAGAAATCATAATCAGTTTAACTGGTCAAGACCAAGGGGTTGGCAGTGCCATGATTCCTCTGGAGGTTCCAGGGAGAACCTGTCCTTGAATCCTCCAAACTCCTGGTGACTGCAGGCACTCCTGGGCTTGTGGCCACATTACTGCAATCTCTGCCTCCTTTGTTTTCACTTCTGTGGGTCAGGCTAAACCCCTCCACATCTCTCTTATAAGGACACTTAGGATGGCATTTAGGATCCACCCAGATGATCCAGGATTCTCTCCTCACCTCAAGATGTTTAACACAATCACATGTGCAAAGACTCTTTTTCCACAAAAGGTCACATTCATAGCTTCCAGAGATTTGACATGGTTATCTTTGGAGCGATCGTTTTTCAGCCTTCCACATTCTTCATTCAGACCACCTCTCTGTATTGTCAGATGTAAGTGTGCCTCCCACATCCTTTTTCAGGAAAGGACTTGCTGCCAGGTCACAGGAGTGTGGTCAGCAGCTGGCCATCAGCTCCTTCGAGGTCTGCCTTAGCAACAGAAAGCCACCTTGCCGGAGGGCACACCCTTTGGGGCAGCGCTCTTCTAGGGATATAAAAACCCAGTCATTTCAGCCCCATGTGCAACTGCAACTGCAGGTACTTGGGAGTCTGAGGTGGGGGAATCACTTGGGAGGTGGAGGTTGCAGTGAACATGCTCAGGGGCAATATTCACTCACAGGCCCCCACTATATTGACTGAAGTTTTGCTGAGCCTGCAGTGCAGTTGGATTTCTGCCTCTGCCCAGTCCTGCTTCCATCTGGTTCCTCTCACAGGAAATGATTCCTAATAAACATCTTGACCCCAAAAACACCGCCTACTACTGTAGAATGCAACCCATGACACAGACGTTTCCATTTTTGCCAGT